AGGATGAATTTTAATTTTTTTATAAAAAGCATTTATTTCTAGAAATGGTGAAATGAAGTTCAGAAGATGCAGAAATATTATCATTTGCTGTTGAAGTAGATGATTATAAAGTTTTAATACTTCCAATTTATAGACCTCCAAATTATAATTCTTATTATATAATAAATTTGGAAAATTACTAAATAAATTAAAATTATGTAGTCATATAGTATATCTTGATTACAAAAATATTAATATTTAAAAAAAAAAAGGAATAATGAAAACAGTAATTTGATAAATGACTAACAGAATTTGTTATATTTTAATGTATTTCAGCAAAATATAAATGTTAACACAAGATCAGAATAGAGATGTGGAAAGTTAGTTAAATCATGTGTACACAAAACTAACAGGTGTAAATATAACTAGTTATATGATTAAGGACAAATGATTATAGGATTATATTGATAAATTTAAAAAGAAGTACGAAGACAATAAAACAGACTATGAAAGATAATATAGACAATGTTTTAATGATTAAGTTAAAATAAACAATGTTATATATGATACAAACAATTATAATTGGGAAGAGTTCTTAAGACTAAAAAAATCCAGATGTTATCTATAAATAATTTGTTAGTGTGTTAAATGAAATTGAAATGAAAAGTATGTTTGAGACTAAACTAAGAAGGAGGGATACAGAACATAAATCTTGGGTAAATTATGATATTTTAATAAAAGAAAAGTATAATTTATGGCATAACTATAAACCTAGAATAATAAAATAAATGAAGCAATCTACAAAGCAAAAAGAAATTTGATATTATTCATTACAAGAAAGGTTGAAAAAGATACTGTATGAATAAAATTGCTACTATTCAGGGTAATATGAAAGAAATTTGGAAATACATTAATGAATTAATAGATAATGGTGGGAGTACAAATACAAGTATTACAGATTTATCAAATATTTTTAATAAAGAATTTGTAAGTAAGATAAGTACTCTAAAAAGTTATCATAATAATGAAAACTATATTACAAATAGAAATAATTATCTTAGAAGTGTATCCTCATAGGTTAGTACAATTTATTTCCCAGTAATAACAAAAGTTATTAATATAGAAAATGCAGTGGATATTAACAAAGGACTAGAAATTTAAGGTACATAAAACCATATATTAATGTATTAGTAAAGGTTATAACACGGCTATTAAATTTAATTATGAAGAAGAGAAAATACCTGGTAGACTTAAAATATCAATGATAAATCCTATTTATAAGTCAGAATAAAAAAAATACTTCAATGATTATAGACAATCTTTACCTATAACTCAAAAAATAATGAAAAGTATGTATGTAACAGAATGTTGGACTTTATTGAAAAAATAATATTATATACAGTTGTCAATATGGATATTAAAAAAATGTTCCACATTACTCTCAGAAAATTTTGGAAATGATGTGAATTTACATTAGATAAAAATAAAAAGGTATTTGTGTTATTTTTTGATTTAAGTAGAACTTTTTATACATAAAATCATAAAACACTACTGGATAAATTATAGATGATAGGTATAAGGGGGAAGCTATGTAATTGATTTAAGAATTATTTAAGTAACAGGGTTGAAATAACAAGAATTGTAGAAATAATTAGTCATTCAATAACTTTAATATGGTGTTCCAAAAGATTCTGTTCTAGGTCCACTGCTATTTGTTAATTTGTATTTTAATGATATTGTAAACATAGGCTTAGAGAGTAAAATATATCAATATGCATGTCTGGGTTTTATGTATATGTGCTAAGAATTATTCTACAGTAGGTGTTTGTGACTTGTTGGAGATAAATTCGATAGTAAATTGACAGTACACGCTCCACTTGTATTAAAATAATATATTCAAAACAAGTCAAACTATGTACACAAATTCTTTACACTGTGGATATCACAGTTGTATCTCAAACTCTAAATAGTTCTTTTTTCTTCTTAAAAGTCCACTTAGGCTGATTCAATTACTTTAGAATCCAACTGACAAGACGAACTATTTTTTCTCTACTTTTATCACAATAGTATCAGTAAATAATTAAATTACGTTACTCCGTAGGTTACCACAGTTGTATCCTGAAACTTATATAATTGTCTCCTTTTCGTCAAAGTCCACACAACCGGGTTCATTTACTTTAGAACACCCTTTGACAAGAAAAATATTCTCCTTATCTCTATCAAGCTGTGAAACTCACTTTAAAATATCAACTGTTAAGGCTAATCACCCACACGCCAGCTAACTTCGCGTTTTATTTCGCTTATTAATTTTCTGACTGAACTGCACTTTTCTGTACTTTAATATACTTCACTTCTTTTTTCTTGACTTGCGCTCGCGAGTCACCTATATATTCACTGAGGCCTAGAGAAATAGCAACGATTCGAGTTATGTGAAGTCAACAGTATTAGTAAAGCCTCGACAACAATGTAATTGCAAACACAATGTACGACTCGTACAGAGCTACGTAACCAAACTTGTCATAACTGTCGCCTTCAAAACGATTAACCTTAATCTCTCTTGTTATGAAAAACTAAAAATCATTGAATATTAGGAAGACACGAGTATATAGTAAATTTAGGTACAGTTGGTATCTTAATTGGATTTGTGAGTTTCTTTGTCAGGAAGGTTTTTGTAATGTTTTCTAATAAGTTGTATATCGAACAATGGAGATGATACAGCTTTAACTCATGTTGACGTGGAAGCTGGCAAAGAAATCCTACAAGCTAATTTTAATAAATTAAAGTATTTACAATGTCATAATTAAAGATGTAATACTAAATGTGAACTTTTATTTGTAGCAAATAATAAGGATTCTAACTGTATGTATTTTGAAAATGTTAATACTAAGACATACTTGGGAGTAATTATATAGATGATGTTTTTAGTGGGTACAAACATATAAAAATGATGTGCAATAATGTAAGATCTATTACACCAAAAGTATTGTGGATACATATACAGGATATTTGTGGAAACTTATTCTGTATCGATTTATTCAAATTAAGGTATTATATTGAATGGAATTACAATAATATCAGTTGCTAAAAACTAAATAAAATAGGCGTTTGTTGTTTTAGACCCACGCAGATTATGTATTGTTTTGTTGTTGTTGAATTTCACCTTAGCCGTCGCAAATTTTGAAGTAATTGGCAAGAGGGAAGGTAGTTAGTCTACGCCATACACTCTTGGTCACTCTTTACCGATAAACAGTGGGATTGAGTGATACTTTATAACATCCCCACGGCTGAAGGGGCGAGCATGTTCGGTGACAGGTTTAAATCTGGCGACACACGGATTGCGGGTTGAGCGCCCTAACCATCGGACCGTTTATGTATTTGAAATAGTGAATATCTAACAACCACAAAAATGGTGGAAGTTCCAAGAATTACAAAGTTTACGAACAAATGCACACTGATCACTTATATAGAGGATTAATATGGTTGTTCTATGAACGATTTCTTCGATGGTTGGTGCCTGCGACAATAATTGCTCTCATATAATGTATGTAACTTGTATAATAAGAAAACTGAAAAATTAGTTGCAATACTAGTTTATTAAGGTCGAAATTCAAACTTAAAACAGCTGCTGTAAGATAACATTAACAGATTGTTTCAATAATTTTCTTTTTAGAATACGTGTCTGGTAATCATGTATATGTGTTTTAGGACAAAGCGAAAGCTGAATCCGTAAATAGGAACAAGGCGAAAGCTGTATCCGTAATTAGGAACAAGGCGAAAGCTGTGTCTAAGAACAAAACGAAAGCTGTGTTCGTAACTAGGAACAAGGCAAAAGCTGTATCCGTAAATAGGAACAAGGCGAAAGCTGTATCCGTAAATAGGAACAAGGCGAAAGCTGTATCCGTAAATAGGAACAAGGCGAAAGCTGTATCCGTAATTAGGAACAAGGCGAAAGCTGTGTCTAAGAACAAAACGAAAGCTGTGTGTTCGTAACGAGAAACAAGGCAAAAGCTGTATCCGTAATTAGGAACAAGGCGAAAGCTGTGTCTAAGAACAAAACGAAAGCTGTGTTCGTAACTAGGAACAAGGCAAAAGCTGTATCCGTAATTAGGAACAAGGCGAAAGCTGTGTTTGTGAATAAGAAGGCGAAAGCTGTGTCTAAGAACAAAACGAAAGCTGTGTTCGTAACTAGGAACAAGGCAAAAGCTGTATCCGTAACTAGGAACAAGGCAAAAGCTGTATCCGTAAATAGGAACAAGGCAAAAGCTGTGTTTGTGAATAAGGGCAAAGCGAAAGTTGTGGTTTTTCTTGCACTTTTGTTATTGTTACCGATTTTAGGAAATAAATTGGGCCATCGTACTATATTCATTATGGGCACGGATGGGCTTATGGGCGGTATTTGTGGAGGGACAGAAACCAAACTTGGAAAAGTTTTACAAACGATACATTTTCCGAATTGACCTTAACAGTTATTTTAGGGTTCTAGTTCGTAACCTTAATATATAAGTTTAGTATAGTAGCTTAAAAACTTATTGACATCCTGTATATCATTGAAATATACTGAATTAACTCTACCAGTGGCTTCCAAACCTTTTTCATTGTTTGTTTTGAATTTCTCGCAAAGCTGCACGAAGGCTATCTGCGCTAGCCGTCCATAATTTAGCAGTGTAAGACTAGAGGGAAGGCAGCTAGTCATCACCACCCACTGCCAACTCTTGGGCTACTCCTTTACCAACGAATAGTAGGATTGACCGTGACATTATAACGCCCCCACGGCTGAAAGGGCGAGCATGTTTGGTGGGACGGGGATTCGAACCCACGACCCGCAGATTGCGAGTATTACTCCCTAACCACCAGGCCATGAACCCTTTTCATTGACGATACCTTAACTCACTTGTTTTCATTTGTGCAATATCCCTGCTACCACATGCAATATGTTTTTTGTATATTTTGTGTGTTATGTTATATTTTCTGTTTCAATTATTTATTGAAGCTCCAAATAATAAGTATATTTATATTTACAGGCTTGGTGTCATGTTCACCAAATCCATGCAAAAATGGAGCTTCTTGTGTATCTAACCGTCCAGGAGAGTCTGTCTGTAGGTGAGTGCAGTTATTTGTGTAAGCTCGTGACTATTGTCACGATCAAAATTAGTATGGGTATTGTTATGTTTAAATAAACTTTTTTTATTATTTATAATGATTATGCTATTGGGTTACTGATTTTTAGTGCCTATTCTCCTTCGTGGCAGTGAATTGCACTATTAGGCTTGTCATGCAAGTTTTCAGGCGTATGTAACGATTTCAAAGTACTTTTAATCATTTTTAGGCATTTTGTAACACCAGCTTCCTGTAAGTTTGGTCCAGTGTCAAAAACATCTTAACTGGACTGCATGATACGTTTCAACAATAAGGCCGAACGACCATAATACTGACTGTTATTGGAAAGGAAGAGTACTTAATTTTCATACAAGCTTGTACACTGTATATATGTAAGTTATGTATAAACACACACGCACAGACATTAGTATTTTTAGAAGACTTTTTAGGCCTGTGTACACACTGCTGTTTCGTGACCAATGCATCTCACAATTTTTTTTCCTAAAATGTTATATGACCTACTTTAACGTTTGATGCCGCTTCAAAATTGATACAGACGTTTAAAAGAGTAATTAGCAGGCCCGCCGACAGGGGTGGGGGCAACTGCCCAGGGGCCCGGGCGAATAAAACCTGGTTATGCCGTAAAGCCCGCAAAGCATCTTTAGGCTATATCTTCATTTAGACGCTTGATACATTAAGAACGACTGAAATAATAATTTGAGTAATAATGAATATGTATTTGTTACTTTATAGATTTAATAGATATTTGTTGTTACTTTATTAACGTTTTTACGCTTATACTATGAGGTAAAAACGGCTGCTGCTATTATTTTGTCTGGTTTATGAGCTCGTTGCTGGCCTAATTTAGAATCTTCTTTTTAATAAATTCTTGAAAATGTTAAAAAAGAGAGGGAGAAAGGGGGCCCGGTGAGGATGTTTGCCCCGGGGCCCGTGCTGGCTCTCGACGTTCCTCGTAGTGTTTAAGTTCATCAGCAGTAGTTGTCATTTTATTATACTTTATTTTAAAGAAACTAAATACTGAATTGCTTTCAACAGTTTGTATTATACAATTATACCTATACACAGACATGGTGTTATGTTTTACATAGCACACATGTATTAAAGTTTCAACCACGAGGGATATGGTTACGTCAAAACCTATATGTTTGGTTTTGGGTCCTTCCATTTTTATTTTTTTATTTTTTTTTGAGGTGGGGAGGGCTATGCTTTCAGGCGTTTCTTTACGGTCTATAATTAGGGAGTTACCAGTCCGAGGTGAGATAGGGTGTTTTTGTTATCTTTTTAAGCTTAACAGTTCTTTCATATCTCTCTCTTTCAGATTTAAGGTGTCTTGAATACAAAGTAGCTTTACAGAGGGGTATTTTTTTTTATCAAAAAATGTAGTGGGGCCCACAGTCGAAGCCAGTTCATAAATTCTTCTTTTGAAAACATTTTATTTCTGCATGCTTAACTATAAGATGGTTGTTATTGAAAACAACAAGTGAAACGTTTGATTTGGTAATGATCTAAGGGTTGCATCTTTTTATCGCACTTAAAGCCTTTAAAGCATATACTTGATCAGTTACAACGAAAAATACAGGTATCGTTGCCGCAATTTTTCTTCTTCTGTAAACCAACAAAAAAATATGAAAAATATTTTGTGTGAAAGACATAACTGGTAGGTAGCGAACAATAACAGATTCTGATACCCACGCTTCAAATGAAGGAACAAAAATAATATGATCTCTCTGTCTTTGAGTAGCATTAAATAATATCTCTTCACATGGCATCATATGTTGATTCATTAAATTAGGTCTATGAGTCACTCAGTAGTTTTAATGTATACATGTATTGTAGGTAATCGTGCCTCAGACTGTCAAGTTGTTTTTCTCGTGCTCTACAGATATGTTTCATGTATTACTGATTTAACACTTATCCTTTTTAAAGGACACGTTAGACACCAACATTTTGGTTTGTATGACAGGTAAGTTTTGCAGAAGTCAGTGAATTAGCTAACTTGTAAAGTTTTGTCCTACCCAATTTTTCTATGTAAAACAACAAGATAATTTGTGATTGAGCTCGAATATGTTTTATGAATTTATATGTAATAATTATTGGTACCATATTAACCAAGTATGGGCCCCTGAGCCCGAAAAAGGGGGAGGGCACAACCCCACAATACACTTTTTAAATTACGAACTTCATCAACAGTCAAAATCATATTTCGGCATAGTCCTAAAATATAGAAACTCGTGAAAGAATGAACAAATATTATTGTTTATGGGACCCCCTGATTACGGGTATGATAAATAATCATACGTTATCAGAGATGTGTGAATGTCATGCTTAGCTCAGTGCTAGAGATTCTTAGATTCTATTATTGAAACCCTTTTAGTAGAGTTGTGCTAATAGTTTCAGGCAGTTGTTGCCCATTTTCACCTTTTACCATGAACACACTGTCTAAATTAAAGGTGGCCAATCCGTGGCATGCTTGTCATTTACAAAACATTCCCTGTTGTGGTATATAGCACAGTTTTTTTTTTGGAATTTCCACACACACTTCGGATGTCAGTAATATTGCATGTCATATTACATCCTTTAATTTGTAGTAATCCTTTTTAATTTGACTGCTTGAAACACGTTAAAGTTCAGCACAGTTGCTAGAAAGGTTCACTACACATTGAGTGGTAAACAATCAGCGGGACGCATGTGGTACCCCGAGGGTTAATCCGAACTCTCTCTTCATTCTAAAAAACTTATCACAGCAACACAAGTTGTTTGCGAAGTTAATTATCTTTAAGTGATGACAGCAGACAAGTCCAGGTGTATTACTGCTATGATATTAAAACGTAAACTTTGATTATTTATTTTTTGTATACTGTTATTTTTTTTAGATCTTCAGTACTGGGAGTGGTGTCTGTTGGAAGCTGATCGCTGTCTTTAATGTTTCATATGTAGTTCATTTTTATTAAAATATATATTTTGTGGTTTATTACTGGCAAGGAGGATCTTTCGGCCATTGAAACTGTTTTTTTTTTAATTTATGCACAAAGCTACACAAGGGGCTATCTGTGCTCTGTCCACGACGGGTATCGAAACCCGGTTTCTAGCGTTGTAAGTCCGCAGACATGCCGCTGTGCCACTGGGGGGGGGGGGTTGAAACTGTTTGAGGTTCGCACAAGTGGCCCGCGGACCAGTTTAGGTTGCCTATCATTGTTCGTTTTTATTTTTTAATAGCAATGGGTCATTTGTATATCTCCACCATGGAGTTCGCCAAATTATAGTGTTATAAGTCTTCAAGCTTGATCCACCACGGATGTAGCTGTTATATGAATTTTATTTTATTGATATTCTTTATATTTAGTTTAGCACCTTAAACGATGGGTTTTGCGAGTACTAGTCTAATTCTTCATTATAGTTATTTTATTTTGGTAGTGAGGATTTTAACATACAGAAATTTTCTAATTTTTATTACCTTTAGAACGCCCCCCTCCCCAGTGGCTCAGCGGTAACTCTGCAGGCTTTCGACGCTAAAATTCGGGTTTCGATAAACGCATTGGGCATATGACAGACAGCCCATTGCGTGGTTAAACAACAAGAACCTCTAGAAGGTAAATGCTCCCAGTAGCATAGCGGTATGTCTGCGGACTTACAACGCTAGGAACCGGGTTTCGATACCCGTGGTGGACAGAATAAAGATAGCCCATTATGTAGCTTTGTACTTAATTACAAACAAACAGAACGTAAATTGATCGTTCCATATGTAAGATTTTTGCTGTAGTAAATAATTTTGTATTTATTTCAGCATGAAATAATTATATGTATTTCATATGACTGACAAGAGTAACATGCAGTATCTAACATACAATTTAATGCTTTACAAATAACAAATATAAGAGAGTTCTCAATGCAACCTTTGGGTTTCATAACTCAGCGAGGAAAAAAATAACAATAATAACGTTTTCTCTAATACAATAACCGTTGGAGATAAGAGAAATAATTCTGGTATGATCCTACGAAGACAAAATTTAAAGATTTAAAATGTTTACAGTTCCACAATCTATATTTAATTTGTCTGAAATCGTGTATTGTTTCAACCAACAAGAAGACAATCAACAACATATGCCGATGAGAGAAGACTTAATGATACGTTATGAAAGAACACACTAAAAGCACGATAAATCATTATGATGACACTAAAATTTTTAAACACTTCCAGTAAGAATACAGCAGCTACTATTGACACTCCCTCAATACACCAGTTATTATCAATTACAAAATCTGCAAAAAAAAAGGATATAATAACTAAACAATCTGATAATGATTTGGAACTTTGTATAGCAGATGAGATATATATAGTCGCAGCAAAAATAGTTGTGTAGTTAAAAGAAAAACCCACAAAGAAAGTGAGTTCTATCATATCTAATATAAATAAATTAGATATTCAGCTTTATAATAAAAAAATAATTTATTACATAACATCCATATAATGATAAATAACATTTAAAAACTAATTTCGTAATTTGATAAAATTCTTTGGGTAATAAACATCTTTCCTACAAGCGGAAATACCCGTCAACTGACGGAGAATGTTTAAACTTAATTAAAACAATGTAAGTTTAACAGTAATCATGTATTACAAAATAATAACCGGAACATAAACTTTATCTCAAATTTTAGAATTATAACAAAGCGTCTTTTTAAACAGCATTTGCAGTTTGCCTTACATCTATCAACAAATAAAGATTTTGAGGTGATCCCTCCCTTTAACACCCTACATCTCACTGACCATGAGAAAAGCATGGTTGTTTGAGAAACAATCCAGCAACTTTCATACTTTGACCTTGAATCCTTTTAGAATATTCAACATTGTCTAAATTGTCAACCTGCCAAGATTATTTGAGATTGATTCAATATTCTGGAAGTAATTAACCAACAGGCTTTACAAAGTAGAAATAGGGTTAAGTTCAGTTTTGACCCCCTTAGGACATGCCCCATAGTTC